TAGTAATGGATGACACCTTAAGTGAGCTATTAAATGCACTTTACCACTGATTAGGAAGAAGACAACAAAAAAACCTGGCTACGTTTACATTAAGGCAGAATATTAAACAATACACTGCAGATTTATTGACTTGTGTAGAAATACCTCACTTTTTTTATGCACTGTGGGTTACCAGAACCAACGTTTTGTGATAGTTTGGTGAAGTACATGGCTGATAGTTTAACAAAATGTCCATTATTTAAATTTTCCTTTCCTAACTTTATGTATTATTCTCTACAGGGATCTACATCTATAAAATGTATGGGTGTTTACTTGTTAGATAAGCTGGCAAATGACTTCACCTGCTCTACCACACAGTAAAACAATGCTTTTTAAAATTACTATTATTTTTAATTAATTTTGTACTTTTTGACTCGCTAGGTCCAAAGAAAGCACAGGAATGTGGTTCTGGCCAAAATTCTTCAGGCAGCCACTATTCGAGACTGTAGCAAAATTCCAAGCTTCCCTTGCCATGACCATTGTAACCCTTTTGTTATGGTCCCATACAATCAGTCATGTAGTAGTTCACTAGAAATAATTCCTATCTCAAACCTTTGCCTAAAAATGTGCATCTATAATGAACTGATCCTGCCAAATATTTGAACCTCAAACATCATCCAGATGCTCTTTCTCCACGTCCTGGCAGCCTGTGCCGGGAAGAAAAAAATCCATGTTAGTGGCTATGAAACACTATGAGCAGCATATTGTGACTTCCTACCCATGTCGGAAGTCCAAGCCTTCACTTAAGGAAGACATTATTGATAATATGTCTCAGCCGCTGGTGCTCCACATGCTCACTTTTGCACCTGAAGCAGTTATTCCATAAGAGTCAGTGTGTCTCTGGGCTGCTTGGTGAGCCTTCAGAGCCTTCACACTGTAGAGCAGCAGCTAGAGTGACCAGGAAGAACCAGAAACCAATCTTTTCACGGTAAAGACCACTCACATTTCTCACGTACAGTAGCAAGTAACATAATTACCACTGAGTCTAAATGAAGATGACAAACATTGTCCTTCACATGTCATTTCAACAATTTCTAAAGAAATCAAAACTACAGAGAAGAAATTTTGCAACTTGCTACTTGCAAATGTAACAGAAGAAATTCCTGTCTCTTTCACCACAATACTCTCTAAGAAAACAGCCAAGTTTATGCAAAAGAGAAACAAATAGAAGGATGGTGAATCTTAAGTGAAATCAAGGATTCAAATGGAGAAACATTTTATGGAAGAAAAAATTGAAGACCATTAATCCTAATTCTTCAAAGAACCTTTTTCCATCACTGGAATCCAGGTTATATGAAAATATATTGAAACTGTGTTACATGAAATTTCCAAGGAAGTAAAATGAAAAAAAAAAATCACAGTTCAATAAGCAGGTAACAAAACTCATTGACACAGACAACGAGGGAGCGATAAGAGATGCCTAAGAAGAAGATGGAGGGAGTTTTACGGTGGATGAGTGCGGAACAAGCTAGGGCTGACTCAGTGAGAAAGAGTGAAGAATTAATGGTGGTAGATTCATGAGAACTTACCTCAATTACTAAATGAGCCAGTATATCTTGTGGAACTGAGTTTCCTGTATCATGTGCTTTTTAATCACTAATAATAACACTCTTAAGTGGAAACTAATGTACATTGAACTGATATATTTCTTGCTGGCTTTCTTTTTTTTGTACACTGGAGAAAATATTTGGGACACGTTCCTTCTGCATACTTCTAATGCATGTTCTCCCTTGCTTATTTTCTTTGAAATTTGAGCAATTTCAAATTGCTAAAACTTATACCTTTCTGCTATTTCCTTATTGAATCAAAAACATTTTTCAATTTTGTTTCTTCCGTTATTCTTGTTACTTGGCTGGAATGAAAGACTACATACCACATACAGAATCAGTTAGTTACTGTACCCAATATTATGTACAACAGCCAAACAGGTGCTCTGAAGAAACTCTATGCTAAAGATAAATAGTCCAGCATGATCCAGCTGACTCTAGGGTTTTGTGGGAACTCTTGCCATGGAAAACTGAGGATCCATATCTATAATAGGGAAGGAAGTTAAGGCCTCAGTCTGCAAACACTTTTACGCATGCTTATTTTTATACCTATCAGGAGCTTCACATCAGTGGAGATACTCAAGTTCAGAAAAAGTTGTGTGTCTTCCAGTCTTCATCAGTTTGGGGCTGGGGAAATAGTAGTCTGGTGGGGCTGAAGAAAATTCAAATTTGAAGTGTCAAAGTGTCAAAAAATAACTGACAAGGGCAAGAGTAGGCCAGTAATAAAATAGGCCAGGTGAGGTATGAAAAACAACTTCATTAGTCTGGTACAAATGACAGAAAATCTGGAGCCTTACCATTTAGCATAGACATGAGATAATGTGGGAACATGGGGAATTATCACTTCACACATATATAGTTATACTTTTTCAGAAAAAAAGGAAAGGAAGAACAACACTGAAGACTTAAGGCACACTAAGCTGAAGATACCTATAATCAAATATTCTGAATGATAATCTAATTTTCATTTTCAGCTTTTTACTTAAAGACTGACTATTCAAAACAAGCAATCTGTTCGTCAAAATACCTCCAGTATCTGCTTTGTTGCAGGACTCCAGAGACCCACAGGAAGCCTATGCATTTCCACCAGAATTATCTTACTGGCAGTTAATCATGAAACTTTCATTGCTTTAGTTAAGTTTTTCACAACAACTCAAAGCAGACATATTATAAAGTTTGGTGATCGTCTTACCAAACTTTGTATATATGCTATAGCATAGATAAACAATCTATGCTGGTAAAGCTCATACAGTTTCTGTAGCAAAAAACCTCCCACTACTTAAGAATATTGATACTGAAATTGCTACATTCTCCAAGACTTTTTCCAGAACAGAAATATCATTAAGCAAACAAACATACACACACACACAAACCTGTAAGTACTGTGCCTGTAAATAAACAGACAAATGTAGCTACATCAAAACTTTTCCAGGAAGAATTCAAACCAAAAACAAGGTGTTCTTTTAACACGCTAGATTAGCTTTAGAGCTGAACTACAAGTGGATAGTGAAATAATTCTGGTTTTCACTATGCTGCATACTGCAGGCTAAACACACGCTGCCTTTAGGTATGGTATTCTGTTGCGGGCACCTCGGCAGATGCTGTGTGCTAGCTATGCCCCTGCTCCCAAAAACTTTCCTATCAATTAAAGCAAAATTAAAAAGCCTCCTCAGTGTATAGTGTAATAGAGGGAAGGGATTCCCATTTCTGATATGCCTTTACTGCTTAGCACAAGGAGTAAAAAGATGAAAAAAATGGCATGATTTCTCCTTGGAGCAACAGTTTTGGAGTCCTGCTTGAAGAGAAAGCATAGTCATGTCACAGCTATCAAAGCATGCACATACTTAAAGCATGAAGTGGACTTGTATTTAAACATCCCAGAAGAATATGGCAACAAAAGTAATGCAGATATTTTATATGTGGCATTTTGTGATGTGGTTCATATTTTCTGGTTAATAACCAGCTAGTTAAGTACTGGTAAGGAGGAACAATACTTTTACTAAAACAGCGTTATCACAATAGACATGTGCTTGCTACAAGATATTATTAGCAATCCTAATTACATTTTCAGAAACAATGCTTTTGCACTCACCTGAACAGTAACACCACCATTGAAAAGGGCAACTTAAAGAAAAGAACATACAAAACCCGTGGAGTCTAATTATTTTATTTCATCTTGCATTTGTGCTGTTAAAGCAAAGCGTTCAATACATATTTAGCTATTTACTGCCATTCTACACCCATTATTGACCTAATTGAAGAAAGACAAATGCATGGACAAACTTGTTAAAATAAGCATATTGATAACGCTTCTCTGACTTCAACAAATATTTACTTAAAAACAGTATTCTGCCAGCAACTGCTCATGTGTTTCTTTTATTAACAGTTAATGGCTTAATTCACAGAACTCTGAAACACAATGGAATGTAGCAAAATGCGATGTTGATAATACTGGATGTGTCTTCTTTTTACTAAACAATATGCATAGGCAGAATATTATGTTAACAGCTTAACTACCAATTAATCAAACACTGAAATGGGAAAAATTTGGTGAGTGATAGTAATTTTTAGATACAAGATGAACCAATATTTATGCAGGCATAAAAACCTTCAGTATCATAGTCAGTACGAATTCTTATTGGAAATAGTTTTACATGTAATGTAAAATAATGTGAACCAGTTTTATAGCTAGTATGATTGTAAGTTAAATAGCAGATGATTTTAAGTTATGCATGGGAAAATCCTGAAGAAAAATAACCAAGTACTTCAACTTGTTTCAAAGCCAACAAACATTGCAGTGACTTAAAAAAGACAAAACAAACCACAATGATTTTATTTTTTATTTTCTTCCTAATGCTAGCCTTAATTGTGCAAAGTTACACTACTGGAATATTATAAATCACACCTGTGAGAAGTGGAAAAATGATGTGATTTTGAATGGGAATTTTACTGCATTAAATTACCTCAAAAAATGAGATTAAAATATTCTAATAAATCAATTTCTTCTACAGCTGATCGTTAACTGTGGCATCTAAAAATATCTGCTGGAAAACAGTCAAGGCGTACTTATCTCCATATGAAAATCAATTTGACTGGTTTTAATGTCTAATAATTTCTAACAGACTGATATAAAACAAAAAACATGGGACTTGATGAGATCCACCCGTGGGTTCTGAGGGAACTGGCAGATGAATTTGCCAAACCACTATCCATTGTATCTGAAAGGTCATGGAAAACTGGTGAAGCTCCCACTGATTGTAAAAGGGGAACCATAACCCCCATTTTCAATAAAGGAAAAAAAGAAGATCCAGGGAACTACAGGCCAGTCAGTCTCACTTCTGCGCTTGACAAGATCATGGAGCAGATCCTCCTGAAGGTCTTGCTAAGGCACATGGAAAACAAAGCTGAGGTGATTGGTGGTACCAACATGGCTTCACCCAGGATAAGTCACGTCTGACAAACTTGGTGGCCTTTTATGATGGAGTTACAGTGTCAGTGGATAAAACAAGAGCAACTGATGACATCTACTTGGACTTGTGCAAAGCAGTCCTGCACGACATCCTGACTGTCAAATTGGAGAAAAATGGATTTGATGGATGGATCACTCACAAGATAAGGAACTGGCTAGATGGTTGCACTAAGAGAATTGCAGGCCCTGCCTTGAAAGAATGGGAGTGTGTCATAAAAATTTATTACTGTAAATAACAAATACAGAAGCGAGCACCTCTGCTGTCTGCAGAATTCCAGGTTGTTTGCAATTACGTGGCCCTGGAACTCTTTGGGTACGGAATGTATTTAACTTGGTTTGTGTGTAAGAGATATTAGAAGTGTCTAACATACATTATCCTATGCTCCAAAACATTCCATAAAAAATTTGCACTGATTATAAATGCCAAGTCTGTTTAAAAATTCTTATAATGTTAAAAGGCAGAACCACACAATGATATCAAGGATACAAAGAACAATAAATGGCTCTTCTGAAACTCATAGAACATCTGCACTCAGCTATTATCAAGAACAACAACAGGTACTAATCTTTTACTCTACACTATATAAGTTGTGAAAGAAAGTTTCTGAATTGACAGTACTCACCCTGGAAAGAATGAACAAAACTTTTAAGAAAATTCCATGTTATAATGTTGCTACATTTCCTAGCATTGCTTTTCTGGAAGAAAAAAAATGGGTGAATCTGAAAGAAAAAAATCAGTGAAAAAAACGGTTCTTAAAATTCATCACTATGTTTCAGTCACATTAAGGAAGCTGCACTCCTGTTATTCTCAGAAATTTTCTTTGCAACAATCTTTGAGGTATTTTTCTAAGCAGTTTGGTAGCAAGGACAGGGAAGAAAAAGAAACTGAAGAACCAAATCCCGTTCCCTCTGTGATCAAAGTAAATATTTCTAGCTACTACCGCAGGTGCAATATTTTCTCCTTAGTCCATCTGCACAACCGTTTTCATCAGCCCTATCATTCAATTTTAAAGTGGAATTTGTTTTATACTACAGACCAGTAGTGCCCTAGGAGCTTGATTGGTTGCTGCTTAATGAAATTACTTCTGCTGATATTAGATACATTAGGATAATGATTAAAACACTTAATGACTCTTCTTGATTTTAAATTGCTAGCTTGGATGTTTAAGAAGCTATCAAAGTATGTTTTTCCTTCCTTTCCTCCATTCTAATCTCACTTCTTGTCCTTTTTCAGTTACTTTATGTTCCTTAAACATTGTGGCTCACTGGCACCAGCACAATCACAAAACAAATGTTGAACACTGCATTGTTTAAAATACCAAATCCCAGCATATTAATACTGACAGGGGCATCTTTAAAGTACAACTTTCTGGTTCAGAGTTGAAATATATTGTTAAGAGTAAACACATTATTCATATAAAGAGATATCCACACTCAGAATAAACTTTAAGATTTTAAAATATCTGCTGAAAAAAGATAATCCTGCAAATGTAAAAACAAGTATAAAAGCTTTACTTTTGAGCTTGAATGTGGAAGACAGTGATACATTGCCAGATAATGATGTTGAAATGGCATTCCTATGATGACAAAACCATTTTTCATGCTCTTATACAAAATTGTATAACATATCACCTTCCAGCAGAAAACATGTATATCTTACAGGCAAAATGACAGCTTATCCTCAAATACTGTTAAACACTAGAAATATCAGGTTTGGAAACTTGGCCTGAAAAGGGGGAAAACACAATTACTATATAAACTTCAATTTTCCTTGACAAACCTTATCAAGGCTCTTGAGATGAAATTATACTTACAAAAAAAATTGCTCATATACTAAAATCTGCTGTGTCAGAAGGTTCTATGAAAAGAAGCAAATACACTGAATTTTTTACTTAATACAAACTTTAAGACCAGAGGAAATAAAAAAATACAAGTGTTTGTAAATGTTAGCACCATTGTGAAATCAGATTCAAACGCCGGTTCTGTCACTGTGGCTGTACCTTGCAGCTGGAGTAGCTGATGTGAAGCACACAGGCTTCAGTGATCTTTGAGAGAAGAACAACTGGATTTGCTGATCATACCAAATAATACAAGTTTGCAATTCTTGTCTTTTTATATTATTTTCTATCTTTACTTTCACTTGGCAGCCAAAGTGCATTTCTGTCAGCTGAATCCAAGTCCGAGTCCTTTTGGTCTCTGGATGGCTCGTATTGGCTCTGCTATCCCTTTCCCGTCTGGTCCAAGGCCAGTGCCAGGAGTCCAGCCCATGCTCTGAAGCATTCGGTTTCCAATGTTGTTTTCTGGGATTGGTTGAGTGTTTTCACCTACAAACCCTGAGATTAAAGAAACACACAGCATTAATCAGCACTGCCCGCCATGTGGAGAAAAGCAGGATAATCTCCTTTAAAGCTTTAAATCTTTCTATTCTCCTAATTCATCTAATAGGTTGCTAGAACAGGCTGTCTTTGCATATGTTGACCTCCTGACTGTATATGAATCCAAATAATACAAGCTAAGGCTTTACTTTATTTTCAATATTTCTAAAGACTCACTCATTATATAAGTGTGACAAACGCTGTTGCAGATCCTTTTTACTCCAATACAGTGGATTTTACATCAGTCTTGAAGAATATGCATCATATGCTTAAGTCTACCAATAAAAGGGCTAGATTACACAAATGTCTTGTCCTACACAATTATTAAGCTGAGACAAACCATACTATCATGGCCACCTATCCATCCTCAGCAATATTATCAATGCGCTCAAGAAGATCACTTTCAATAAACGCTACAAATGTTTTCTGCTTAAACACTTGCAGCTTCTACAGAGATTATAATACAGACAAGAGGTCTAATATTCTGAAATACAGCTATATCCTCACTCAGTTTCTGTTTTACTAAAATTGCAAGAGATTTGATATTGTCCAGTTTACTTTTTGGTATTTTCAACAACATTGAATATGCTGTTTACAGGCTTCTTCCTACCCAATTGTAGAAAATTTCACATACTCCAGAGAAAAGACTGTCAAGATTGCAAAATGTAATTTAACATTCATTTTCTTATGAAAATAGCAAAAGAAATGCAAATGTCAAATAACAAAGTGTTGTTTTTTTTTTTTTCCCCAGGCTTCCAAGCCCCTCAAGATAGACTTCTGGAAATGACACATGGGTAACCTTCCCTTATGTGTCCATCTTGCATCAGGAATATAAATTATATTAGTTTCAAGAATTTGCAGTGATTCTTATGACATTACAAAAGGCAAAATTTTAAGAATGAACTTTTAAGCTAGCACAAGCTACTGCATGTAGGTGGTTGGTTTTTGTTTTTATCTTTGTACAGCATGCTCCTTCCCCCTGACAAGAGAACAAAACCCACCACATGCCCAACTCCAGACATTATCTGCTTAACTTTCTACATGCTCATTCTGGCCAGCTACTTTCTGAAAAATATTTTAGGAGGAGTCCATGGTGTTTTGTTTTTGAAGGCTATGATATCTTCAATCAAGAATTTACCAGACAAGAAGCTGGCTTACTAAACAGGAACAAAACAAAAGTTGAACAAGCACTTCTGAAAAGCCTCATTTAACACCCACAAAACAAAAGCAAAGCTGCATAGGGGAAATCCCACAGGGAGGTAGAGGTTCAAAAGAAGAGACGCATTATAGTGACCGAGTTGATGAATTTATGGTACTCAAACACAATTCACAACAGATCCGTTTAGATTCAGCAAAACAGTGGCTACATAAAAGGTTGGCAGCTTCCAAGTACCTCAGTCTTCGAGTCAAAGAAAAAGGGAAATGCACTGAGAGAAGGAATTCTTTAATACTAGTTTGAAGCTATGCTTAATGCTAGACTTAAAAAAGGCTTTTAAGTCAGCAGACTCTCATCCCCGAGAGGGTTTCCCTTGAACTGACCAGCACAGAATTCAATGACCAAGACTTCCTTTCTTTTCAGGCCCCCACAGGCAGAGGCAATTTTCATACAGTCAAGTCCCTGACATTGCCTGGCATACACAACACAGGCTTTGCAACCTTCTTAGTTAAACTTTCTAGGTCAAAAAAAAACAGAAAGAAGAAAGGCAACAGTTCAACAAAAGCAAAGGTAAACCTCACAGGTAAAATCCTGGAAGCCTGTTTTGGTTCACTCTTCACAGCAACTCATGGTAAGAAATGGCATGTGGTTTCAGTAGCCATGGAACAATTAAGTGAACTTCAAAGGAAAGAAAGATCCAAGAGATCCGTCAAGCAAGAAAGAACAAAGATAAGAGTATATTTCATCACATATAAGTATTGGAAATACCAAACCATTCATAATGCTGCTTAGACAAAGACAAATGCTGCTGGGCTGGCATGCAAGGCACAGCTTGAGTCAAAATATACAGATTTTTGTTGGTCCGTTTGGGGGGAAACCCACGTAATTTTTCCTGTAAAATACATACCTTTGTACTTGAACATTAATTCTCAAGAAATCCAGAGCAACTTCACAAAAAAATGCACAAAGAAACAATCTGTACCATGATATAGTTAAATAATTGGATGTTGCTATTTTGTAATTTTTTTTTTTAATGTTGCTCAATGTGACATTGTTTTCTTTCTGCAATTGACAGGAAAATTAGAATTCTTTTTGTTTCAACAGACATACATACATCAGAAATGCATATAAAAATTGTTTTTTTTTTCCCCCCTGAATATACTTCTATTTCCTATTAGAACACCAAGGCCTGCCCTCAAGCCTTCTGTTTCATTTTTACACTTTGCCAAGTTACAACAAAAACAGAGAGCAGAAACTACCATAAACTTGGCTTCCACGCTCCCTTTTGGGCAAACAATCAAGCAGCACGCACTGTCCAAAGGGTAATGTGCTTGGAGGCTTTGTAGAGCAGCAATAATAAAGCAAAACCAAAAAGCCACACAAGTTGCCTATGTTATGGGCACGTACATTGACTAATTACTCTTTCATGTAAATAATGTAAATATGAATAGCTTTTATTTCAATTTTGAAAAAGTTTAATACATGCAAATCATTTGCAGTATAGTCAGTTTTTATATAAACATTTCTATGTCTGTCTTATATTTCTCAAATGATAAATAAGAATTGCAGGGATATTAATTTATAATGTAATTTTTTCTTCTGAATCAGAAGAACATGGGTAGTTATATTCATAACTGCCTTTTTCCTCCATCTCACAGTCAATCAGAAATAAAAACAAAATAAAACCAACCCTGCATCTTCGACCCACTGCACGATCGAAAAGAACTCTTAAAAAAAAAAAAAAATCATACACTACACTGTTTGTTATTTCCCTGACCCCCAATTCATATGCTCTGGGCATTAATTTTCTAATTAAAATCGGTAATTGTCCTTGTAATATTCATCTTCAAGTTCAGTTTTTAATTCAAGCCTAGGGCACTTCTTGGACTAGCCAGTAGGGCCTGTTAGAGAGAATGGTCCAAGCACATTGGCCTTGAAAAGGGCTGTGGTACCTCTGGGATGTGTTCAGTCTTGACCCACCCAGGAGCAAGAACAAAATCAACACATTGTGCCATCCCACAAAGCATAACTATGCAAAATCTGATTAAGCAAAAGAAAAGGGATACATTTTTCAAAGTTTATTGCTGTATGGGGCTTTGCGGGGTTGCATGAGTTATGAGGAAGTTTATTAATAATTTGCCCCTATGTAGAGTCTTTTCTTTTTACACGCTGAAAATATCTCACTATAACAATTTAGTTCCTGAACGTTCAGATGAGAAGTCTACATGCAGGAGTAGTTACCATTACACAAATGAGGAGCTAATACTGAGGAACAGTAGCTTGCTTGTGAAGATAGTACTTAAAAATTCCTACACTTGCATCCCTTCACTTAGCAATGCTGGTAGCCAGAATAATAACTTTAAAAAGCCCTACCCTCAAACATTAGCACATATGAATAGACACACTTCAAGGTCTACATTTATTATGCATATGACCTTACATACATGGAATATGATAAGAAAGAAACAAATCTAGGAAGAGAAAAAAAAAAACTCATCACATTTATGTAATTTTTGATATGATATTTATGATGTCATGAAAGGCAAGTTTCAATGAAAAATAAAGGTATGCAATTTTTTCTTAACAGCTGTTGAGACAGGTATGTCCTGGTTAAACAGTACACTAGCATTCAGTGCCATACCCTTGATTTTACAGTGATTGCCATGAATTAATTTAATTCCATCTGTAAGCTAAAATCAGATCAGAGGTCTAATGCTGCTGCAGGCTCCACATCTGTTTAATCATTTTTGGATACAACAGCTTGAAAAGTTCAGGTTTTAAATTTGCTTCATATTTAAGAAACAATGCTCCTCTGCAGGAAACAAATGAGCCTATGCATAGTTTTGATCAGACAGATATATTTCATTTGCTAAAAGCTTTTCTTAAAATACTTAAAAGCTCACTGATTATCATGTATTATAGAATAATAGACTGTGACCCTATCAATCAGAATTGTGACAATATTTATTTGTATGGTCCAATTTCTGGGTAAGACTAACATCAAGCATCTTTGGTTTAAATATGTGTCAATAAAATTGGAATAAGCTAGGTTCAATCTCTTGAATAACTCTTATTTAAAAAGCACTACTGTTTTTATTTTTAAGCTGTAAGAAGCAAATTAAGGCATACTGAAGTCATTTCATCTCTGGCCACTGAACTTTTGTGATGTTAAGAAAATGTGTTTTTTTTTTAAACAGTTCTGAGAAAATGACACCATACAGAAATATAGTCTTGGCCTTTCATCTTTTTTTTATATGATTAAGACCTGTGAGTAGAACAGCAATGCCTTTGCAGAGCATTCCACAACTATTATTTCCTTTTCTATCGCTCTCAGCAGCCTTAAATCCTTTAAATCCTTTCCTAGAAGGATCTCTTTTTGCTTGGGTAATTTTTGCAATACATGGCCTGCTAACCCTTACCCCCTACCCTGGATCTCACTTACGTCTATCACAGCAGAGTCAGTCTTTCTACCTCAAATCTTCCAAGGAGCGTTGTGGATGGTAATTCACTTGCGTAATTGGCTCAAGAGATGAAAATCTTGTATCTGCCTCTCTTAGCCACTAATCTATCCAGCTGACTGCAAGCCTAATTGGCAGCTTGTTTAGTAATTTGGCTCCTAAAGTGTTGTATTGATGTTGGATAAACAGCCAATGGAAGGCGAAACGATACATGCTGCTTCACTTTAAAAGCTAGTGCACTTTCCCCCTCATTTTCTGAAAGCATTTAATATTCCATCTCTTCTTTTTCTCTTCTGATTTCTGACTAGACAGATGAGCTCAGAACAGTAGGGACTGATCTTGAT